TTTGTCTCTGGTGAATCCTCTCACCCTCCCGCACATCTGGCCTGTACCCTGGCTCTTGTATGCATGGATAAATAAATCTTTTAAGAACCAGGGTACAGGCCAGATGTGCGGGAGGGTGAGAGGATTCATCAGAGACAATGTGGGGAACAGAACAGGCAGATTGACCGAAGTACACTGCTGAGGGGAACGGGGGTGAGTCAGGAGAGGTCTGCCGTGCCATGTGGGCTGCTCCCTGGCCAGCCGGGAATCGAACTCATGCTGCAGAGGCTGTAGATTGCTTCATAGTGCATTGCTTAACCCCTTGCGCCACCAGGGAGGCCTGCTCCTTTGCTTTCTTTATCTAGTATTTCTCATGCTGTATTTGTGGCAGGGGCAAAAAGTCGCCTACCAGCTTATACCCTGTCCTCCATCGAATATAGGTATTGTTGGGAGGTAGTTACCTAACCCACTGCCCAGTTCCCCAACCCCCCTTGTGAATAGGTGTTCCCTATGACTGGCTCTTGCTGATGTAATGTGAGCAGAAGTGACAGGTGTGACTTCCACACCAGACATTTAGGAAGCAGATATTCTGTCTCCACACAATTTGTCCTCTGCCCCCAATATCCTTGGAGATATTTCCACATCAGTACATGGAGAATTCCCATTCCCTTTCACAGTTGTATAATATTCCATTGATTGGATGCATCATACTTTATTTAACCACTGCTGCCTTGATGAAAATTTGAGTGAAATTTTCATTTATATGCATGCGTGCATGTGTTTAATTATATGTTCTCTATCAAACAGGACCTCTATACCAAACAGAGTCTTGTTTTTCTTGTTTTTTCAGCACCTAACAATGCCTAGTATATAACAGATTCTTAATAAATAATTTATTGAAAGAATGAAACACTTTCTCTATGGTGATCTTATCCATATCTATTCCCATTACTTTCATTTCCACCTGCTCTCAAATCTCTTAGGCTACTCCAAGGAACCCAGAAATTCAACAACCTCATCTCTGCCTCAGCCCATATATCTAACTGTCCCCTCTCCACTTGGATGTCCCACAGAGACTCTTTCTCAGTATGTCCAGAACTGAACTTCTCACTTTTTGTCCCTCTGACCTCTCAAGTTCATTCTAACAGCACCAGGTTCTGTGCGTGTCCCATTCATGTGACAAACTCTTGAGTGAGTTGTATTTATGGATCAACGTCACAATTCCTGCCCAGACTCACATACAGTCCCAGTTTAGGTTTCCTCCCTTCTCGCCTCCAACAAGACAAGTTACTAGTTGACTCTTAAAGCTGTGGTCATGTCATTCCTTTTACCAACAACTCCATAAGATCTGTTCTCAACCCAAACTTATTCTACTAAAGTTCTTTTACATAACTGTTCCTCTCGCCTTCATTTTTTATAGGCCCTATTCTGGTTATTTACTGTGGTGTAACAAAGCACACCAAAATGTAGTGGCTTAAATAAAAATTTTATTAGCATCTCTTGGTTCTGTACGTTGGCTGGATTCAATTTAGTAGTTCTTACTTGGGACTTTCACACTGACTACAACTGCTTTTGGTTGGGACTGCAGTCATCTGAAGGTTTCATACTGGCTGGATGCTCCAACTGGCTCAGTTACAAGGCGGTAGTTGGTTCTTGCTGCCTAATGGGGCTCAGCTAGTGCTGCTGCTAAGAACACCTACATGGTTTGGGCTTCTCACACAATGGGGGCTTGCTTTTGAGGAGGTGCTGGCTATTGCCTGAGATTTCAAGAGTTATGGGTGCAAGCTGCTCCCTGTAAGACTTTTTTATCATCTAGCAATGAAAATCAGACGATGCCTCTTGTGCTACATTTTAGTGGTCAAAAAGTCCACATGACAACCATGATTCAAAAGGACAGAAAGTAGATAGATCACATATCTCAAAAGGAAAGAGGAGTAAAGAATTATCACCATGTTAAATCTACCATAGTCCATCTTTGGACATAAATTACATTTGTTTTGTGCACAAAATAGACTCACCTCCTTCAGAGGATTCTAAAAGTCTCATCCTACTACATCCTTGCGTCATATGGACCTGTGAGCTACAGACATATTTTCTGCTCCCCACAGGTCCAACATACAGAATTGACATGGAGAAGATAGCCAGATCTGCACTTGTGTCAAAAGGGAGAAAACAGGGGTGACATAGCTATCACTGGGTCATAGCAACTCTGAAACCCAATTGGGTACATGTTTTTTCATTAGTGATCAACCCTGCTCCCTGGGAATGATTCTTAACTCCTCTGTTTTGGCACATGGGTTTCTTCTGAGTCATTATTTCTTGTCCATTAAAAAAAAATACATCTTTGTATCTGAATAGCCTCGATATGTTTCTAAGAGGTGGGAAGGCTCACAGATCTCTATTTTAATGTTCTGCCTTCTCTTGAATTCTTTAGTTGATACTTTATCTTCAACCTAGCATATTTGAGTGGTTGCAGAATAGGATAGAATTACTATAATTTTTGACCCTTGAGACTATTTCCAATTTCCATTCTGCTGAGTACTCAGTAAACTGTACTCATTGGGCACCCACTGTGCCCCAATACATTTTTAAGTATCAGCGCTACAATAATGAATGAAACAGACAAAAAATACTTCTCTCTTTGGAACTGTTGTACTAGTAGGAGAGAGGGACAATAAGAGAATAAGTGGGCAATAAAAAGAAATAAAATTGTAGTAAAGGAGTAAGCAAGCAGGTGTTTTACGTGTGCTATTGATAAGAAAGGGAACTTAAGTTTAAATAAGGAAGGCTATTTTCACTAAGGAGATGACATTAAAGTTAAGACCTAAGCAAAGCGAAGGAGTGGCCCTGCAATTATCTGAAGGAAGAGCTTTCCAGACAGAGAGATACAACTGCAAAAGCCTGAGTTTTATATATACATAAAAATGTGTGTGTGTGTGTGTGTGTGTGTATACACACACATTTTTATTTATATATATATAGTATAAATATTATATATAACATATATATTATACATACACACACACACCTTCTTTCAAACTAATACAGTTTGAGCAGATTGATCAGAAGATGAGGTCAGTGAGGTATTTGGGGACCAACCAGGATAGAACTTTTTCCTTGTAAAGCCTTTTACAGGAGCAGGAGAACGACATGATTTTCACATTTTCATAGAATTACTCTGGCTGCTGTTTTGAAAACTGGTGGGACAGAATGGAAGCAGGAAACCAAGGTTGCTATAATAATCTGGATGAGAAATGATGGAGGTACAGACCAAGTTGTAGCAGCAGAAATAGTCAGAAGTTATATTCTGGGTATATTTTGAAAGCTGTGGATGAGGGGTGCAAGAGAGAGAGAAGGGAGTTAAAATAGTTTCCTAGGACAGGTAAACAAATTACCACAAGCCTGGTGACTTAAAGCAACAGAAATATATTGTCTCAAATTGGAAGTCCAAAATCAAGATGTCTTCTCCCCCACCTCACCTCCCCTTCCAGTTTCTGGTAGCTGTCAACATTCCTTGACTTGTGACTACTGATTCCAATGTCTAAATTTATCTTCTCATGATCTCTGTGTCTCTCTTGTAAGCACACATGTCAGGATTTAGAGTCCATTATGACAAACCAGAATGATTTCATCCTTGAGACCCTTAGTTAGGATATCTGCAAGGAGGTATCTGCAAATACCCCTTTTCCAAATTGAGTCATATAATCAGGTTCCAGGATATTTATCATTTTGGGGGCCACCATTCAACCCAGTATAGGAGTAAAGAATGATTTCAAGGTTTTTGGAGCATACAATTGAGAGAATGGTATTTGTATGAACCAAGATAGCAAAAACTATGAGATGAAAATGGCGTTGAAGATGGAGATAAAGCTATGAGTGGATATTAAAGAATTCAGATGTGGCTGGTGCTTGGTAACGTGCCCCACCCTCCTAAGAGCTCTGCAGGGTGCAACTTTATGAAAGTCTTTGAGCTCTTTTCCATTGTCTTGGACTATCTCTTTTCCCAGAGGAAGTGTTCTGCTAATGTGTAACTTACCTCTGCGTCTCTAGCACCCTGCCACAACATTTGTGCTGTTACATGCAGTGTACTGGAAAGATCACCCACCTTGGCATTAGACATTTGTTGCATCCTCTACCACTTACTGTGTGAACTAGGTCAAGAGACCCGTGCTGGATCTCTGTTCCCTATTTGCAAAATGGCAAATAACCTTTCCTTGCAGAAAGAATAAGTGGAGGGCATCCCTGGTGGTGCAAGGGGTTAAGATGCAACTATGAAGCTGACTGCAACCACTGCAGCACGCGTTGGATCCCCAGCAGGGGAGAAACTCACATGGCGCAGCAGACCTGTCCTGACTCGCCCACTGCTCCCCTCAGCAGTGTACTTCGGTCAATCTGCCTGTTCTACTCTCCACTCTGTCTCGGGTGAATCCTCTCACCCCCAGCACCTCTGGCCTGTACCCCAGTTCTTGTGTGCATAAATAAATAAATCTTTAAAAAAAAAAGTATAAGTGGAGATGATCCAAAGATGCACAGTAGATGCTCAGTAAATATAGGTATCCTTCCCCACCCCACTGTTAGGTTTGTCAAATAACCACTCTTCTCTCTCACTACTCACTACTCAGGAGGTCGCCATTCCTACAGCAAGCTTTGTTGATCCTTTAGAACGCGGGGCACCCAGTAGCACCTCTTGGTTGACTGATCAGCGCCTTCTGGAGAGGAACACTACCGGAAGGGCCAATTTACCTTCGTCCTCTCGGCCTGTTATTTCGGGGGAAACGGGGAACAGCTGAGGTATCGGTCTGTGGGTACAACATGGCGTCGTCCTGCTCCTTGTACGGGACTCAAAGATGGCAACCACCACCTGGGAGCAGACATGTTTGCACCACGTGACGCAGGCCCAGGCCGCGGGCGACCGGAACGTGACGCCAGCGGAGGCGGGGCTCTTCCCCCGCAGCCCTGGCGTCGAGCGTCTCGTGACAGGTACTTCCGCTCGGGGCGGTGGCGGTGGCGGAAGTGGGAGCGGAGCCCGAGTCTTGGCCATAAAGCCAGAGGCGGCGGCGGCGGCGGCGTTGGAGGCTTGGAGCGAGTCGAGGAGTCGGCTGGACCCGGAACTTGGAGTTGCCCCGTGCCCCGGCCTCCCTAGCATCCCCTCTTCGGCGGCAGCCATCGCGACGCGCCCGGCCAGGAGCCCCAAGCGGAGCGGCCGCGGTAAGCAGCGGGCCCAGCCCGGCTGGCGGCCTGGTCCCATCCCCCTCCTCAGCCCCTCGGGCGCCGGGGCCTCTCGTCGACCCTCTCTCGGGCAGGCGCTGGGCCCGGCTCGGGCCTCGCGGGGAAACTGGCATCACTACGGACCCTGGAGCAGGCCGGCGCCGCGCCTGGCCGGGGAGAGGTCAGAGGTCCCCGGGGTAACCTTTGGCCGCGCTGCCGACCCCAGGCCGCGGTCACCGACGCCTTGTTTACTGGTGGCGCCCGCGGCCGGCCTCGGGGGGGGCGGTGCTTTTGACTTGGGTGACCGCTGGGCGCCGAGGGCCTGCGCCGCGGCGGGACGCACTGGCCGATGAGTTCCCTTGGGGTGTCGGAGCCGACCCCTCCTTCGGCGGGGTCGGGCTCGCCGGCCCGGGCGCCGCCGCCCTCCTGGGCTTCGGTGACAGACTCCCGGGCTTGAGCCACGTCCCCATCTGCCTCTTCAGTGGAGCAGCCTGACCCTGTAGCGAGAGAGGCTCCCTGAAGGCAACTGAGTCAGGACTGTGAGTCAGGTCACGTGCGCTGGACTCGCCTCAAACATTTGGATGGGAGTGAGACGCCTCTGGCTCTGGACACAAGGAGCTTTTTTGGTCCTAAGCACGTATGGTAAAGGCTGGAAGAAGTTTTCAAACTTGTTGCGGGAAGGTCGGCGGTTGACTGTCGAGCTGTGTTTGAATATCGTTGCTCTTGCATTCGTTTCGCCTTGGTGCAATAATGGTTCGCAAAAGTGGGAATGCTGAGAAGAATGATAGTGACATTTCAGCGCCTGTTGTATGCTGGGCAGCTTAGGAAGATCTTTACACGGATTATTATGTTTAATTCTCAAAGCAATCTACTCAAGTTCCATAATTGCTCAAGTTCCATAATTTCCCTAACATAGTTAGGGAAATAGAAGAACAGAGAGATAAGTCGTTTGTCCAAGGTCACACAGCTAATAATCACAGAGTGGAAGAGTCAAGCCCACTCAGTCAGACTGGACAGCTCTGCTCAGTCTCTAGCTTGTATTACTTTCAGATGCCTCTGAAACTTGTGATTTAGCTTTTGCCACCCAGTATCTGCTCCTCTCTTCCTCCTTTCTTTCCAGTGATGTCATTTGAAAGCCTCTTCTGGTAACATTAGTTCTACCTTAAGGGCATTAGCTATTCTGTTTGCAGTTGTGACCTTTTTTTTTTTAAGATTTATTTATTTTTATACAAGAGCCAGGGTACAGGCCAGAGGTGCGGGAGGATGAGAGGATTCACCAGAGACAGAGCGGGGAACAGAACAGGCAGACTGATGAAACACACTGCTGAGGGGAGCAGCGGGGGAGACAGGAGAGGTCTGCCTCGCCATGTGGGATTCTCAACTACGGGCCGGGATGGAACCGGCGCCACAGAGGCTGCAGACAGCTTTGCAGCGCTGAGCTCAACCTGCTGTGCCACCGGGGAGGCTCTGTAGTTCTGACTTATAACATATTTTTGTTGTGCACTATTAAACTAAGAACTCTTGAATTCAGGCAAAGTACTGAACTGAGGTTGAAATTTTTTGTTACCCAGATCTTTTGTCAAATGATTTAGACTGGGCAGTCCTCCCATGTGAACCTTCCCTAAAACCTCAGGGTGTCCAGCCAGTTGGTTTTTTGCTGTTGAAAATACTGTATCTTCTCTTTGGATTTCAAAAGAACAGGCTCTTGTCTCTTCCTTGTGACTTAAGCAGCTGATTAGCCGCATGACTTCTCATCCATGGATTAATAAGGTCTCCTATTAGTATGGTTCTCTTTTTAGACTTGGGAGAGTTTATTCAGGTTTGAGTCTTAGAACTGGAAAATGAGTTGGAGTACTTCTGAAGAAACAGCCCATGCTAAAATACAGCTTAGCGCTTGCAACCCTGTTGTATTTGATCCCTTTTTAAATTTGCTATCTGCTCTGATATATGTGAGTAATAAGTATCGGAGTCTTAGGTAGCCTTATGTAATGTTTGAGTTTAGAGGAGAGTAATGATGAGCACCTTTTTGTTCATCAAATGTTTTGAGTAGCTGCCATGTATCAGGCATTGCTGAATATTGACTCAGGGAGATAGGCTTGGTTTCTGTCCTCAAGGAATTTAAAAATGGTGAGTGATCATGGCCAGGAATCCTGCTGTGGAGTGACTTGGAGGTCCAACTTGAAGCTTTTGCTAAGAGAAGTTATTTCTCATCTTTGCGAGTGAATCCATAGTAATCAGACAGTTTGGTGTTCTGGATACTTTAAGGGCATTGTTAATTTTAACAACATTTCTATGGTTTGTGCTTGGAAAGAGTTTAGAAGATAATAGTACAGATTCTAATTGATCATGTCTTTTGAAGAGTAACCTTCAGCACTAAATTTGTTCTTTTGCTCTGGCAACATTTTTTTGTTCACTCAAGAGGGAAGGTGTATGATTGCCAATTTGTACCCCAAATGTTAACTGTTGTAGGGCTGTTGGAGCAAAGGCACATTCAGCATGCTGGAGATTTTTCTTCAGCTGATGAAGAAAGTTTAATGTATGGTCTACCAGTCACAGTACCAAAACCATCCTAGATAAACCCCGTTGATGTCCATCTCCCACAAAGGCTCTCGCTCCCCTTAAAAAGTGGGTGTGTTTTGCACGCGATGCGGAACTGCATGTCATGAGTAAACAAACAAAAGGGTGGAATGTAGAAGACACCTAAAAATAGTTTTATTAGTATTCCCCTCCAAGTTATAGTTAGCAACCTCTTGGGACTGTGTGTGTGTCTGCATGTGTGTGCACGTGTTTGGGGGTGCACCTGTGCCAACTGTGCCTAAACCCCCAAGCCCTAATAGAGCACTACTTTATAGTAAAGTGTGGCTTTGAATCAGATTCCTGTCCACATGCCAAGTGAACCAAATGTTTTGTTTATATGATTAGCTTTTAATAAATCTCCAGAGATATTATACACTATTAACATTTTTGCCCTTACATTTGGTGCTTGCCTTTCTACGCAGAGGCGCGGCAAGCTGAGACCAGTCTGTGATAGCAGTCTCACATACTGCACTGTTCCTCTCTGAGATTCGGTGCAGATATTTAGCATCAACCCTGTGATAAATTGTCTAATTCTCCTTATATGTAATTCAAGAGATATGACTGAGATGACTTGGACTGGGATTTGTCGGCAAGGTTTTCAGGATTTGTCCTGAATAAGGCTAAACACTGGTACCCTTTGGCACTCACGTCACCCTCTGAAGGAAACAGAAACTCTAGAAATTAATTGCTTCCCCCTCCCCTTCCCATAGTCCTCTCAAATTTGAGGCTACTGACTTTTTGCTGACTCTTGTCTCCCTTGTAAGGTTGCCTTTGTATTCTCAGGCATCTATTCCGATGTGTAATCAAACACTTATCTGTTACTATCATCTAATAGAGCTCTGTGTTCCTGTCTGCAGTTTGCTGCAGAAACATTTTGCAGTAAGTTGAGCTCTTCAGTTATTTGTTCTCACATCTTCCATCTAGTCTCTGTTTTTTCCTTCCTGCATAGGATGTCAAAAATCGAAAAAGTAGTTGCATTTTATTTAAAGATTTCTTGAGGGTGATTGTGGTCAGTATGATTTCTGAATCAAAGGTAAAAGTGATGTGATGTGGTAAGTGAAATTAGAACAGGCTTCTTAGCAGTGTCTCTGACTAGTTTCACTTTTAGTACTCCCAGGCTGTGATTTCAAAAAACAAATTTAATAATAGCTACTTGCAAAATGTCTCTGTGGGGGAGGAAGAGAGCTTGGGAGTTGGTCCCCATGGGTACAGTGTTGAGCTGGCCTTGCTCGCATGCCTGAAGATGCGGTGCTTGATGCAGGGAACCTCAAGCCTCGCCCTGGCTCTTGTTTTGGTGATGTCATCACTGCTGTGGAGATCAGGCTGGCTGAGTCTGTTGTCCATGGCGCCGGGGACTGCTTGCTGTGGGGACAGAGCAAGATTGAGGACGCCTATGAAGGGAGCCCTGGGAAACTGGGCAATGTAGGAATTAGTTGTTCGTGTGCTATGAGGGGAAGGGGCTTTTCTGTTTTCCCCGACCCTTTCAAGTGAAGATGGCTGGCTTCTTGGCACTGACTTCCCTGGAGTTATCCTGCTCAGTCAAGGAATCATTTAAAAATTACATTGTGAAGTCAGTAGTACAGCAGTGGTTTCTCGTGTTTGTGCGTGATTTTAATTAAAATTTCATTTCTTTTATAGTGCGCTGTTTGAGAGTACATGACACAATTACTATGAATTAACCTTTAACAAACCCCAATCTTAACAACATAGATTTTATGAAAAATAGCACCTCCCGTATGGTAATAATGAGTATGGCATTTAGTCAGTGTACTGACAATTTTCCAAAACTTCAGATCTGGGGACCCCTCCCCCCAAATAATCCTGGGTCTTCTAGGCAGACCTCTATTAAATCCTCTGACCTGTGCCATTTAGTTGGCAGTTATTAAAGAGCATTAATGTTTTATAGAAACCTTTCTACACAGTATTTGCCTTTAAATGTCTTTTAATATTTGTGTAGTGCTTACAATTTACAGAGGATTTTCATTGGTGCTCACAACAACTCTTACCCTCAAACTTAGAGGATAACCAGTTGTTTATTTCTGCTTCAGATGGCTGAGGCTACTGAGAGCTCCAGCTACTAGGACTAATCTAGGTCTTCTGAAACACAGCGAGGTGCTCTTTTTGAAGCTCTTTTGAGTACACATGATGGCCTTTAAAAATGTGTCTTTCCTCCACTACCTTTATTTAAAATGACATTTCTCTTTTGCTGATTCCATACTACCCAGAGAAACACCTCAGTGCTAACTGGTTGTTTTCTTTTCTTTTTCTTTTTTGTTGGTTTATTTTTATTTTTATTTATTATTTATTTATTTATTTTTTAATTTAAATTTTATTTTTATATTCCCCATACAATTACAACCCCCTTATTTTGACTCCAAGCCCTCCTTTCTTCGCCCCCCACCCCCCATAGAGTGTCTCTCGAT